ACTGGCCAGTTAAACATTAACATGCAGTGACTCTGTCGACCAATTAACAAAGAAACCCACATTATTCACGACATGACCCCATAAAAACACATGTTCCAGGCACGCAATTATACGAATTTAAGCAAGCACAAACGCAGGCACACTTTTTAAAACTGTCCGGGACCTGCCAAAAAGCCTAATTTGAAACAGTGTCAAGAAAGAATCCGTTCCATTATGACAAAATCGCAAATTTACACGGTATGACTTTACAAACGTTTTTCTGTCTGTGCGAAAAAAATGGCTGTAATTTTCCAACATTTTCATAATGGAATAAGCAAGCATGTATTCAAAATCATGATGTCCAATATAATATTCCGGCAAGAAATTGCGAAACATAGTTACACAGAATCACAAGGAACGGAATAACGTCTCTTACCAAACTGGCATTTTTGTTGACTTCACAAATCATGTATCTAAAATGTGTGCGCTGGGACATTTACCCTTATTTATTCATATAGCAAGATCTCGGAGTTCCATCAGTGCAGCGTAACTGACAAAGAGTGGAACTTACATACTAGAGATGTAATCTGATACCAACTTTTTGGTATACCGGTAGAAACCGATACCAACTTGGTATTTGGTATTTCAATCCTAATGCTTTTGGTATTTTGTTGGTATTATGAATGCTCAGTAATGTATAAGAGGCTGTAAATTTGGTAAAAAGTTGGTATTTTCCTGGTATTCCCAACTTGGTTCGGTTTCGGTATTTTTCCATGGTTTTGGTTGGTATTTGGTTTGGTAACGGTATCCTGACTTTCTGTAATTGACATCACTATTGCATACAGTATTATTAAATCAAGTATTCGCCGACCCAACGCATTCGCTGATACTACCTATTTTTCCTGTAAATAATTTGCACGAATTACAACTTTCCAATCAAACGGCCAGAGTGTGAGGCGTGAGCAATGAGCGTCCCTATATACTGTCCCCCCCCAAAAAAAATGATGCAAGTATCTCATATTTTTTTCTGACGGAGGGCCGTTGAGGTATGGTATGGCGAACTACCACAGGCAGCTCACAGCTGCATATCTCCAGTAGACATCGGTAGCGTTTTGACATACGACCACAAACGCTCTGGCTTGTAGATGAGTCGATAGGGAATGCGTGCCGATGCGCCAGCCGTTGAATGTAAAAGCGATAGTGTCTATGTGTATGTGCCAGTGAGGTTACAGTGTTCCTGTGTGTTTCTCTGCTAGCCTATGCGCAAGTGGATATTCTTCACCAAAAGGTATGAGAGACATCGGAAAATGAAGAGTTATTCATGATGCAGCGACAGAGAAAGATTGAAGAAAAAAGATAGCCAGCAATAAAGTACAATAAAGAACGATGTAGAAGAAATAGAACAAAAGAAAAATAAACAAGGGAGAGTGAGAAAGAGGGGGAGGTAGAAAGAGGAAGAGAAAGACTAGTGTCTGCGTTGTGACCATGCGCTCGTAATCCGGGTAGCTGATCTGTATAAATGAGATGGGAGGCGGCCGCCGGCCGACGCACAGTAGTTTCGTATCGCACCCATATCGGTGGTGAGGCCGGCCCAAACGGAACGAAACGGTGCCGTGCCCGTGTGGGTGATCGCTGGAGAACCAGGAGGTGGGACGGAGGAAGAGCAAAGGTGATCACCAGAGAACATACATAGAGTGGATGTGAACAACGGAGAACAATAACGACAAAATAACAAATTTGAAAACAGCACCGCGCTAAAGACACACTAAACATGCCTCATTGTTAGATAATTTTTTAAAGTTAACATGAATACTAGAACAGGCATAAAACATGCCTCTTTTGCTATCATAAAAGACAATATCTACAAAAAGCATCAACAATTTAATGAAAAGAGGATTTGCGTCACGATTGACACATAAGATTCTATAGGTACTTAAATTGAAATTCACTTAACACTGCGGAACAAAGCCCGAAGAAAATCATCGGGCACCCACGGATACATTGCTCTGACGTTCATCCACATCTCAACCAGACAAATCCAATCCCAAATCTCAATCATAGCTAGACAAACCGCGTCCAAATCACAGCCGCGCACCCGCAACTCAACCAGTCAGCTGACCAGCCACATCCGAAGCACAACCAGACGACCAGCTAGCTAACCATCCCAATGGCACAGACAAACGGCTCCACCCCAACCACAGCCAAAGAGTGAGTCAATCACGACCAGTCCATCCGTATCCCAAACACATATTGACAGCCCTCGTCAGTCGTCACCAACACAGTATCCCTGTCACTCTATTGAGGGGACGAACAAACGATCGCTGGCCCCGCCCCATTGACACTGACTCCGCCCCCTTTTCCCGCAACCGCGTCCATCCAGTGACACAGTCACAGCCCGTCGCTGTAGCTGTCTACATTGTACACTGTTTCGTTAGATTTATGTTTCTTTGGAGCGACTTGCAAGAAAGAATTTGCTTTTCAACTTTATAACTATGCTTCAGTTCAGTTCAGTTTTGGTTCAACAGGTGAGTTCATTTAATTTGAGCAACAGAAACAAAGCAACGAACATGTTCAGTGGTGGACCGGCGCAAAACATGAAATTAAGTTAAAGCGCCTATGCAATATGAAAACAAACTGAAAATAACTAATCGCGCAAGTTGGGTCAGCCAGTACCCATGACCTGACCTGATGAGAGAAGCATGACGTAAGAACGTTTCCACTTTTAATAGCAAAAAAACAAGAACTTCGTTCCATGGAGTTCATTAAAAAAAAATTAACAGTCAGGCCGAACCTTTTTTATTCTTGTATCAGCGACAAGAAGGCTATTCAGTTTGAAACTATGTAGCATAATATACGGTATGGTATTACAGATACATAAAATGTTAGTGATGGTTAAAATCATTAAGTCCGTCTTCTTAAGAGACTTAAAAAGACGATATAACCCTACTTCTGAAAAAGCATGCGCCTAGGTCGTCAATTCCATCGTCTACTGCAAAATAATTTTTTATCCAACTAAAGACAACATCTGTTGGATTCAGCTTGCCACAACTGACACTTTTTTGAAAATAATTGGCTGTGTTCTTACGGTAAATTTCAGGACAACAAAGTCATTCTTGTCAGGCAACGACATAGAACTTATTCTACAATGCAGCATTTATGATATGACTCGGGCCTCACTCGGCCTAACATAAATAGAAAACCATGGAGTTTGCCTTTTTGCTGTTCAAAAACAGTAACAACCTTAAGCACTTTACTCTGTTAAAATAAACATTATCGGCAAAAAATGGCAAATAGATTATTTCCTTACAAAATTCGAAGAACATTTACTGTGACATTCGACACCAGGCCCTTGAAACTGCAACACTTTAGACACCTTTCTAAGCGATGAAGTGTGGGGATTGCAACCTTCCATATCCTCTCATGATGTAAGACGGACAGTGCATCTCTCGCGAAAAGGACGACCTGGCACCTGAGCCGACAGCCCCGGTGGTCGCGGCCGTGAATACTGGAAAATTAAATTTACAATTAAAAATTGTCAGCTTTTAGCGGCCTGTCGTGGTGCTGTTGGCGCCGGGTTGGACGGACTGAGTGAGGGATAGGAGAAGCGCCAGAGGGCAGAGAGAACCCTCCCAGTCACCCCCGTGGAACCTCCGAGAGCCGCAACAGAACAGCAATGCCTTCAAGCTACTGATTGGACGACAAACTACGCAAAAGGTGAATACATTACACGCACAGGGGAATAAGGATGCCTCCAGAGATTTAGGAAACCATCTGTGTGTTTCACAGAAACTTCATGGTGATGACCCGTACCAAACAACGGCAAACACAAACGCTCGCAACTGAACAAATCAACGGAGCTGCAACGTCCTGCTTGCGTCATGGTATATCTAGCTGGGAGCTGTGTCCCGTCACAAGGCCCGGATGTCTGTGCAGAGTCAGAAGCTGCTACGAGTGGGCCACTTCCTCTGCGAAACTGCTCCCCCTGCCCGGGCCGCTGCCAACTGCACTATGAGAGAGAGGCAGTTATGGCCGTCATATTTCGTTGTCGGAGTGCAGCTATGCGCCGTCCGCATCTGCCAGGGGCGTTTCTGCCGCCGTCGTGGTCGACAGATCAACTACGCTGGCTGCGCATTTTGACGGACGACGGTGAAAACAGGGCGCCTGGGGCGATTTGATCAAGGTTCGTGAAATTTACACGTGACGTGAATTTACACACGTGAATTTACACCTCGTTTAGTCATTCTGATTTAAATGGGTTTGTTCGTTGAAAAATCGCTTAAAATTTGGTCTGAACTTTGTTGTGGTGCCTACAGAGTAAAAAGAATCAGCTTTATGACAGTAATGTGGCCTGGGGAAGGAGGTAATTTTGGGCCGTCACGTCACATATTTGAAAGTTTGTGTTTGGAATATGGGAAGCCTAAGATGTTTAATGAAAAACAAATGCCAGAACCGTGTTCCTGGTCATCCAATCTATGAAGTCGGGCACAATTTAACTGCTTTTAACAACGTTTTAGAAGGTGGGATAGTCCCTTTAAGCATGAAGAATGCCCACGGAGGAGGAGAAGTTCCAAATGTCACGTGACTAATATGCCCTCCGGCGCCCTGTTTTCACCGGCGTCCATTTTGACGTGTACCATTACACATTAACATAATTTGGCACGTTAATGAACTGATTGACTGTGTATATCTTCGCTATAATATTAGAACTGCAACAGCCTCGAGAGATGTCGGTTGGCCACTAGAAAAATAACGAGTGTGACCTTACAGTGACAGACTAAACAGGGAAGAAATGTTGCAAAACGGCGACTGTCATCGGCGTCAGACCGGAGATGCGCACTGACACGCCACACGGCACCTGTTCATCCCAGCTGTGCCGCCACCGACGGCCGCCAGCCGCCGACGGGCCACAACCACACCACGCCGCTATCGTAAGCACGACCTTGACCGCCGCGTGGATGGGGGCGGCGTCTGCGTGTCGTGATGGTGTCTGTGCGCCGTCTGCCGCGGCCGTGAGGACTCACCTGCTCGTGTCCGACTGTTTGGAAGATGCTGCTCGGGTCCGTTCGAGCGGTCACTCGACACCGCGCCGCACCGCCGTCCCGCGCCGCTCCGGACACCACCCGCCCGCCCGGCACCGTAGGCACTGGCCGCTCGCCGCCGCCGCCGCCGCCACCGCCGCCACCGCCGCCCGCGCACGCAGCCGGCGAGGGGGCGGCGCCTGGCCGGCCGCGCCGCCCCCGGCCACCAAGGTCGGCTGGTGACGTCACGTGACCCGCCGTGACGTCACCGCGCACCCGGAGAGGAGCCGTGTGTCAACAGGCGAGCAAGTCACTGGGAGTCCCCGCGGTGGGAGGAAGGCGGAAGGTCGCCCCCGCCCCTCCCCCGCCTGACCCCCGCCCCTACCGCCACCCCCTCCCGCCAGACCCCGTCCCCGCCGGCCGCCCCCGCCTCATCCTTACCCCAGCCTGCCGCTGCTGTTTGAGGAGGGGCTGATAGCTTTTTCCAAGTCTACCGTGGTGAGGTAGCTACATAGATGAAAACAACTCGGATGCATCTAATGTGACAAAAAGTCATCTGTTTGAATAAGAGAAGAAATCACAAGGCTTTAATTTGGTGAGGGCCTCGCTGGGATAAATTCGAACAGTTTGCTGTATACCTCGTTGCACACGAGCATTGTGGCCTGTTGAGAGTGTCTGGTTATGCACATATTTTAGTTCGATAGTTTTGAGAAATTTTACTCATAAAAACAACGGTGATAAATTTGATTTATATTCAATACCTACCGTTCAATTATGTTCAACAATTCACGATCAATTTATGTCTATTTTTTGTTTCGTCTCACGTTCATAATGATCTTAATTGCAATCAAAATTTCAATTAACCACCTACAAAACCTTGGGCCTGGGTTCGTGCTTATCCTAGGATATCCATTATTATTTAGCCATCAGCGTGTTACTGGTCCGTCGGTCACGTCTGCTCCATAATATCTCGAATAAACAAATCAGCGCTGGGCTGCGCGTCTCGGCTCGACCTCCCTTGCGACCCGTCGAGCGCCACACCACGTCGGCTCCCGGGTTTGTCTCCTCTCTGTGGCGGTGGCGCGAGCTCAACGGGCGGCACCGCCGAAAAACGGCGCCACCGCCGGCGCATCGGCCGAAAAACGGCGGGAAAAAGGCGCCGCCCGCCGGGCCCGAGCGGGCTGGCCATTGTGGCGCGAACGGGTCGAGTTGTAATGAGGGACCACCGCGACTGACGGCCGCCGAGGTGTCAGGTGTCGCGGCGTCCGAAAGGTAGAGGAGGAGGTGGGCGGTACCACAGGTGGACACACGTGACGGGAGAGAGAGAGAGAGAGAGAGAGAGAGAGAGAGAGAGAGAGAGAGAGAGAGAGAGAGAGAGAGAGAGAGAGAGAGAGAGAGAGAGAGAGAGAGAGAGAGAGAGAGAGCAGAGGAAGATGTGGGCGATACTGCAGGTGGACAGACGTGAGGGAGAACGAAAGGGGGAACGGGGAGAGAAAAATAGAGAAGAAGTGGAAGAGAAGGAGGAAGAGACTGCGTGGGGGAGAGCAGACACAGTTCACTCCCGTAAGGTGTCTTTTCCTCGGTGGTGGACCGACCAACCGTCCTGTCAGGACCGGCTCTCGGGGCGTTGAAGCCGTCACCGTTACCGTTCCTTCGCGGTGATGGCTCGGCCCATCGCGTCGGTAGGGCGGCATTGGGCGCCCACTCTTTGCCACTCGATGGGAGGAACCACGTCCGGTTCGGGTCAAACAGGCGACACCAATGCTGACCTTTTGACCAGTCTTGACCTTTGGTCCGATGCAACGGACCACTGCACGTCGATCGGTACCGTCAGCAAACTGCTGGCACAAGTGGGGAATCAGGGAAACAGTGTTTGCGGATAACGATCACTTCAAATCGTAGTAAAATTATGTGATAGTAGTAAGTTATAAAACGACATTCCATTGAATTGCTTTGACAGCAAGTTTGCTCGGCAAAATGATGCGAGATGATCCTCGGATTACAATGCATCGCAGGAGGTCCGATGTTTTTATTACAAAAGTTCATAGGTAGAGTTGTAGGTATATCTCAACGAATTTTTTGAAGATTTCTGTTAAATATAAATCTTCAAAAGAAGATTTTTATTTAAAAAAGAAGGAAGATAGAAATCTATAAGGTTATGTAAGTACAGTCATGAGTGCTGTCTGATGCACATTCTTCATGGCACGCATGGGATGATGTCACGTCTTTGTAATGCAAGCTAAAAAGGAACAAAAGATGAACTTGCCGGCGACATCCATAAGTCAACAAGCGAATGAGATCTGAGCTGTCCAATGTGCATACCTAATGTTCGTTTTTATGCCATTTACCATAAAAATACATCTATCGAAAATGAATCTAGCTTCCCACGAATGCTATAAATGGTTTAGGGCATTGTGCGTGCGAGTCGCTTTTAGACCCACACGGATAATTCTCACAGTCAAAAATGCTCAATAAAAGATCGCCGAAAACGGTGTCCTCAGCCATGTCTCCAAACTGGTCCTACCGTTAGCTCACTGACAGGCACGCGACGGTCGTGGCGCGGTGCGGCGTGGGGCGACGAGGCGCGGCGGGGAGTGGCTGTCCAATACTAGCATTGGAAGGACAGCATCCGATGATATGAAACCTATAACTGTATGAAATTCAACTTCATGCGCACGCGTAGGGTGTTTCTATTGTAAGCAGTTCATTCTGCATCGATTTCAAATAAACCTGAAATGGACGAGTTTATTACATGCTGATGACAGCTGATCGATCAGTTATCCAAAATTGGAGCGCACGACAGATACAAACAACAGAAGAAAGACCTACAGTATATCTGAAAGAAAAAATGACGCATCAACGATGTGGTCCTGAATCTTAGCCATCCTCATTTTCTGCTTTAGTGGCGACTCGCAGCGGCGAACGAGGCAGCAGTGGCAGTGGCGTTGGCAGTGACTTCTGGGACAGCAGTGCCGGCAGTGGCTGTGGCAGTGGTAATGGCGTTAGCGCTGGAAGTGGCGGAGACAACGGTGGCGGCGGTGTTGGCGGCGGTGGAGGTAGCAGTAGCGGTAGCGGTGGTGGCATTTGTGACTGGTGGGCTGTGGCGGAGGCTGTGCCGGTTGCAGGGATGGTGGCGGCCAAGACAGCAGTGATGTCAGACACATCACTGGCGGCGGCGGTGGTGGTGGTGGCAGAAGTGATGACCTGTGGCGGTGGCTAGCCGAGACGGCAGTGGCGGCGGCGGTGGTGGTGGTGGTGGCAGAAGTGATGACCTGTGGCGGTGGCTAGCCGAGACGGCAGTAGCGGCGGCGGCGGTGGTGGCGGTGGTGATGGCAGAAGTGATGACCTGTGGCGGTGGCTGGCAGTGGCGGCGGCGGTGGTGGCGGTGGTGGTGGTGGCAGAAGTGACGACCTGTGGCGGTGGCTGGTCGAGACGGCATTGGCGGCGGCGGCGGTGGTGGCAGAAGTGATGAACAGTGGCGGTGGCTAGCCGAGCCAGCAGTGTCGGCGGTGGCGGCGGCGGCCGGTCGGAGTGTGCCAGTCATCGGCCGGTCGTCAGCCGGCTATCAGTACCCGCTCTAATGAGCGTCGCAGCTCTGCTCTCTCGGCGGCGCGGCCAGCCGGCCGTGACCGCCGCGCCAGCGCCACATCAGCCGCCATCTAATCGCGCGCCGACATCGCCACAGCCGCGCCACAGTCGCCGCCGCCGCCATCACTGCTCTTTCTCTGGTACTGGCTCAAAGGGACGCTTTGGCGTCGCCAGCAGCGCTACTGCTTCATTTACGGCGCATGTGTGACTTATCTGGCTCACTCGCGACACTCCTAGCGCAGCTGGGATGTCACCTGTCCCGTGGGCGGGCTTGTTCAATGAAGCAGAACCACTGGATTCACTCTGATGTCTCGTTTTGCGGAGATATTGCCGGCGAGTGCATGTTGAGCGGCAGTCGTCAAGCCCGGCACATTTGTCCACATACGATGAGATAATCCTTGACGGAACCATGCGGTTTGTCATGCGCTCACGTCATCGTGTTAGGTCATCGATCGCAGCCGGCTGGCGAGCGGGAGCGCTGGCGTATTCAGCTGCCTTCCTCAGCTGTGTAAGTACAACTGAGTGTGGCGCGGAGCTATAAATAGAGAAGCTGACTCGGGGCACAGTTCGTGCGGCTCAAAACGTGCCTATAGATCACAGATGTCAAACGCTGATTGGATGTCATGCTATGAGGCTATCTTCTGTCTCGTCAGAATTAGCATGTGTGTTGTGAAGTCGATATAATGTACAAATGTCTTGCTTTCGTTGATCGGTAAAATGCATCGTCACACTAGAGCCGCCAAGAGGTGTATGCTCTGACCAAGCATAACAGTATAGGTACTAAATGGAAAACGACTTTTAAAGTCTTTGTAAGAGCGACTGCGAGCTATCATTCCATTAAGACGGATGCGGCAAATGCTTCTATCAGTTTAACTGTGATCATAAAACTTTATTTTGACATTTGTGGAGAGTAACGATGGGTCAGGCGCAGTGTGTATGTTTTGTTTCCGGCCATTTCCGTTTTTCTGCTGGTAGGACAAACAGAGATAAGAGTCGCAGATAGAATGCATCCTGTTAACGTTCCGTCTTGGGCCGTGGCCGAAAGAAGTCAGGGAAGAATGCATGTGGCAGCAAGCGTGTGATAGCTCGCCTGAACAACACACCTGAATCATTGCAAACGCCTCCCTGGAGGCTCTTCAATGTTTGTCTACAGTCTATGTAACAATATTTGAATGTATAAAAATCCGCAGAGATATGCGCTGCATCTTAGATCATGAAGTGTGTGATTATGCCTTAGAGTACTGAGGCCTAATAAGCATATATGTAAGCATATATGCCAGCACGTTTTGTCCGTTTTAGAGTATGGCTCTTAAGACATTCATTAATCAGTCTTGAAGTACCGCTACAATCCTTCGACAACGCATAGGGGATCAGGCGTACCTTCAACCCTTTTACTGCATAAATTGACGTCCCATCCATCCCAAGGCTCCCATCCGGGCGAAGGTGAGAGCGACTGACATCTACCCCATTCCTCAGCTGCGCGTGGCGATTTTTTACCACGTTTCCATCGTCCCACACGCTAACACTCGGCACTGGGTCAATCCGCGTACGGGCTGCAGGCCGATAAATGAACGGGGGAGTCGGCACGGATC